AGCGCTTCTGTTCTCCTTGTCTCAGGATACACCAACAAGGGGACAGCCAACGAACGGGAAGGGTGGGACATTATAAACCTAGCAAAGGAATTGCCTTTTCCACACAACACATAGCCAGCCTGTGGAACTCACTGCTACTGGATGTTGTGGGGGATGAAAAAATTGGCAAGATCCAAGGATTGGACATTTCTGTGGGTGACAGGAATGAGACACGAACCTGTCAAAGAAGAGTGGGTGAAAAGTCAAATGAACCTTCACGGAGGTTTCCTTGCCAGGGTCACCTGGTTCTTTAGGGGTCAGGGATCATCTAGAACCACTGAGCAAATGGGGGTGAGTCTGATCCCGGCCGGCTCAGCTCCAGGGGTGAAGTTCAGATCCAGGGGACCCAGGTGGCTGCGGGGAAGGGGGAGCCCCTGGAGGAACAATAATCCCAAGCCAGCACAAGAACAGTGTCACGCACGTGAGACTTTTCCTCCAAGCTCAGTTTATTTTTTAACCGAAAAGGTAAAAAAGTAGCAACTTGCTGGGCGTTAATTAACAAGCCAGGCAAAGCTCCCAGCGGCTGAGCAGGCAGGCGAAGAATCGCCCCCCCTGAGCCTTCAGCGAGACCCTGGAATCTCGTATCGGTAATAGAAGACGGAGAACTGCAGGAAGCTGGCGAGGCGCGATGGGGACCTCTGCGAGACCCTCCGGAAGCCCATGCTCTCGTACAGCTGCTGGGCCGAGTACTGAACCATGGAGGTGGACAGCACGACCGCACTGTACCCGCGTTCCTGGGCGAAGCGGATGACCGTCCTGCAGAGCGCCCTGCCTATGCCCCGGCCCCGGTGCTTCCTCCCCACAGACATACGCTTCAGTTCCAGGGCATGCCCCCTTTCTGAGGAGTCCTTGGGTAGGACGGCCCCCACCATGCCCACCACCGCCCCCTCAGCCTCTGCCACCCAGAGACAAGAGTCTACTGCCTCCAGGTAGGTTCTCCGGATGTCCAGTAGGTCATTGCGAAGAGACTGCTGGACGTAATCGGTCCAGAGAGACCGGATGAAAAACCAGCCCCCGGTGAGAGCGAGCAGGAGAGCCAGGAGGGAGACCAGGAGGGACCCGGAGGCCGCGAGCACCGCCAGGAACAGGCCCAGGAAGAGCAGCTGGGTCTGGGGATGCTTCAACACGTGGATGTAGCCAGCAGGAGCGTGCTCCTTAATCCCACGTCCGAACATGGTGCGCACGGCCTCGTAGTCACCGTCCTCGTACTGCCGGATGCGGTACAGGGCCATGGTTCCGCGCAGCCCAGGCACCCTAGGGCAGACAGAGATTAAACCAGGGGAGTGGGTTGGGACACTGCTGATCCACCGGCCACTTCCCGCAGTGCCCCTGGCTTCTCGCTGCACTGGGCTCCACGCCACCCTCACTGACTCCTGGCAAACACCTTCCACGCCTCCACCCTCAGCCCTGCGATCTCATCACCCCCACTCCCAGCTACCTCAGCACCCACCCATCAGCCCTGCCCTGCGAGAGGAGCACCAGGAACGGGTGGGGGGGGAGGGAGACGATCTCTCGTAGGGGCTCAGGATCAAGGGGCTGGGGGGGCAGGACAGGGGGCTTCACTAGGTGGACGCTGCCCCTTTAAACGCCAGCCCTAGCTGGTGACAGGCTGGCCATGGAGGTTCCATGCCCAGGGCCGTCCTTAGCCATAGGCAGTGGCGTAGGGCACCGCTCTTCCAGGGGCACCACACGCTCTGCCAGACAGAGGGCAAGCGGTGGAGCATGTAAGAGCTGCGCTGGGTCCTAGAGAGAGCCGAATGCCTGCAGCACAGTCTGGTGGGGG